TTTGAGCAAAGCTTTTACCACTGAATGATGCAAAATACTTCAGAAACCGAGTCAAATATGACACATTTGGCATTATAGGGTTAAGACCACCAAAACAGCTTTAAAATCCCCCAAAACAGCTTTGGCCCTTTAAAGCCTGATCCAGGAAAAATAAGACGAACATTGGATTTTTTTAGTCTGAAGTCTTTCTTTGGCCCCTCAACAACATATGAAGAAAAAAAACAGAAATTATTTTGATCAAATTAGCGTGCAATAAGTCAAAAATATATGTTGGTGTGGTCTTCTACTGGCTGTTATCAGGTATATCTGAATGTGTACAACAGGGGTTTGAGCAAAGCTTTTACCACTGAATGATGCTAAATACTTCAGAAACCGTGTCAAATGTTTATGTTTATATTTATGCATTTGGCAGATGCTTTTATCCAAATATGACACATATGGCATTATAGGGTTAAAACCCCCAAAACAGCTTTAAAATCCCCCCAAAATAGCTTTAAAAGCCCCAAAAAACAGCTTTAAAAGCCCCCCAAAACTGCTTTAGCCCTTTAAAGCCTGATCCAAGAAAAATAGGAAGAATATTGGATTGTTTTTAGTCTGGAGTCTTTCTTTGGCACCTCAACAACATATGAAGAAAAAAAAAACAGGAATTATTTTGATTGAATTAGCGTGCAATAAGTCACAAATGTATTTTGGTGTAGTCTTCTACTGGCTGTTATCAGGTATATCTGAATGTGTACAACAGGGGTTTGAGCAAAGCTTTTACCACTGAATGATGCAAAATACTTCAGAAACCGTGTCAAATGTTTGTGTTTATGTTTATGCATTTGGCAGATGCTTTTATCCAAATATGACACATATGGCATTATAGGGTTAAGACCCCCAAAACAGCTTTAAAATCCCCCAAATATAGCTTTAAAAGCCCCCCAAAACAGCTTTAAAAGCCCCAAAAAACTACTTTAGCCCTTTAAAGCCTGATCCAGGAAAAATAAGACGAACATTGGATTTTTTTTAGTCTGAAGTCTTTCTTTGGCCCCTCAAC